TTTAATAAACGTTGAAAACGTCACTCCAATATAGAATTAATAAGTATGTTTCAAGGATTATATTATACTAGTATTTTATTATATATTTCACAAACGATAACAAGATTATAAATTACAATATAATTATAATAATAAAAGTATCTGTAATATTAGTCAAAATAGTCAATCCGAGTCTGAATTCGAATGATCTCAATTTCTACGTCAGAACAAGTCTCTCCTGGTGTAAGAAAAGTTAAAATAAAGCAAAATTAACAGATAAAATAATCACTTTATAAATTTATATATTTTTATTATTATTCAGTAAAGAATTTTTTTCCTGATGGCATACTTAAATCCAAAGGGATATCCATTTTCTACCTTTTGTTCTTTTTTGCTTTTCTAACGCGATTATACGAATCACATGTGTATATTTTTTTTGACAGATACAAAAACAAAAGAAAGATAGAACACTTTTACTTGGAAGATAAAACTTGTTATTATTTCTAATTACTGTTTTTTATAAATATCCTAATTAATATAACTATTTTAGGTGTTACCATCTAATACAGAATATTTTCTTCTATAATTTTAGCAAAAAACTGAAAAATTGAAAATTTTGAGATAGAATGGTATAAACCGTCACTTCAAGATAGAACTGTATAAAACGTTACCGCAAGATAGGACTGTATTAACCTTCACCGTAAGATAGGATTGTAATACATGGAGGTATCGAATTTTAATAATTAATTCAACAGAAAGATTTAGTAAATTTTTTCTAATTTTTGAATTATGAGAATCAAAAAATTAACAGATATGAAAAAATTGAATGTTACGAACGAAATTGACAATAATGATAGAAATTTCTATATAAATGATGAATCTTTTGCTGTAACATGACTGAGAAAGAAGCCATATTTTGAGTCGCAGCCCCAGAACGGGCTTCTTCTTGCCTCATACTTTTTTTACAACCCTTTCAATTACATTAACCCGCGAGAGTACTCTGAACTCGCGCTATTCTATTACTCAACAATATATATGTATAATACGTATGTGCAGATGCGGAAATTTTAATTATTCAGTATGAAAATTCACATCCTTTGGAAAAAAAGGAAGAAAGAAAAACTGAAGTGCAGTAAATCATTTTTATGACATTTTTTTTTGTAATTAAAAGTGAAAATTAATTCTATTACACATGTTTCATGGTCAACTTCTATTATGCTAATTTTTATTATAGACAAAGTATTCAGTACATTGCGTCTATAATTTGTTTCTAACAATTTTTTTTTATATTATTGTTTTATTATTTTTTATTGTTCTATTATTGTATTATTATTACATAGAAAAAACGAAGTCTAAATCCGTTTACATCAAAAATGGTTCTAATGTAAACTGATTTAGTCAAAAGTCGACTGAAAATAAGATTTATTTTCTACAGTGCGTATTTTATTAAATTTTAGTATAAAAAAAGAGTTTAAATTTAAATGTACGTGGCAATAAAAATAATAATTGATAAAAATATATTGCTAAAATATATTTTTTTATTTATTTAAAATTTTATTTATTAAAATTCATATGATGGAAATAATTTTTTTCCTGTCATAATCGAGACAAAGTGTTTAAAATATATTTTTGAAGAAACATAGTTGAGAAAATAGAATTAAATGTCTGTCGCTTCTATATTAGTCTATTATTGTTACACACTTGAAATTTACAAATTTTTCACTTATGTTGAGCATGAAAAGAACTGCATGTTGATAATATTTGCGCTGGAGCGAAGCCAAATGTAAAAAGCACACGGTCATATACATCACTGGACTTGAACCCTTGCATATATATGCACATTCAAACAAGTGTGCATTTGTTTAAGACTCTTGTTTGCACTTTCATTTATGTACAATATAAACGCACCGACTTTCCAAAAGGAGAGAAAAAAAAGGCGGTTATGTTAACTTTAACACCACATTTGAGCTAACAATAAATTTAATTACGCTCGACATTTGTTATCTGATCTTATTAACACTCACCCTATAGATTAGGAGTAAAAAAATTTTTTACTATCCGTAAAGTATATTTAAAAAGGGAATAATAATTTTTGTTGGCTAAATTAACAAAATTGTTGTTTCATGCAAATAGACAAAAGAAAATATAAAAACCTTTTTTCAATTTGAAGTTTATTATAAAACAATTTTTTTTATTTGAATAATTAATTTTTTACTAAGTAAATATTCACCCATTTTACATTATTTTTTATTTCAGTATAGTGATTTTTAAAAATATCTCTCTCTAAATTTGAATTAGTAAAAATGTTTACTAATTTAAATTGCTGACTAACTTTTTGCTTTTGAATTTGTAAATTTTACTAATTATTAGTTAGTAGAAATTAATTACTATTTACATGTTAGTAAAAATTTAGTAAAATTTTACTAATTAGTTAGTAGAAATAAATTAACTAATAAAATTTCACTAAATTTTTACTAAAAAAATTTAGTGAAATTTTACTAATTAGTTAGTAGAAATAAATTAACTAATAAAATTTCACTAAATTTTTACTAAAAAAATTTAGTGAAATTTTACTAATTAGTTAGTAGAAATAAATTAACTAATAAAATTTCACTAAATTTTTACTAAAAAAATTTAGTGAAATTTTATTAATTAATTAGTAGAAATTACTATTTATCAGTAAAAGTTACTAATTTGAAAGCAAAAAGTTAGTCACTAATTCAAATTAGTAAACATTTTTACTAATTCAAATTTAGAAAATTAGAGATCAGAACCGAAGAAAATACATTTCTGTTAATTTAAGTGTTGGAAAATTAATTACATTAAATAATGATACATTATTAAATTTAATATTAGTTAAAGTTAATATCAGTTATTAGTTTATTAAAAAAATTTTTTAATTATTTTAATCGTCTATAATTAAATTAACTAAATAATAATTAAAAATTGTCAATTAAAAAATGAAAACTTAATTATAAATAATTAGTTCAGTGATAATAACACTAAAATTAATAAAAAGCGCAATTTGTTATAATTTTCAGATTCACAAAAATGTATTTTTTTCTTTTTTTGAAAATAGTTGAGAATGTTTTTAGAAAACTAGTGTCAATTCTACGCACAGAATAATCTAATTTTATAGTTTTATATATTATAAATGGTATGGAAAAAATTACAATGAAACTATATTTTTAACTTATTTCGAGTTATTCTTAGTTCTTGAGGGCGGCGTGTATATAAATGTATTTTTCTCTCATGAATTTTGTTCTTGAGAGAATAGTTCTTCCTGATATAATGATTTGACTGAAATGCGCACATTTGTTACACTACGTAAATCAATATTTAAAATTTGTTTTCCTTGAATTTTTATTTCTCTTTATTATCGTTAATTTTTTTTCTATTAAACTTTTATAACTGCTACTTCGATAATAAAAAAATAATAAAAATTACCTTCAATTTTGACTTTTTTTAAAAAATATTTAGTGAACGGTTTTCAAATAAAAGTAATAAAAATTATTTAATAATTAATAGTATTCCATACTGTTAATTAACAAGTTAATTAATTTTTTTATTCAATTTCATTTATTGATTGAATTTATATAAAGTAAATAATAAATAACAACAAATAATTAATCACAATATTTTTTTCACTTTATTTAGTGAACGGTTTTCAAATAAAAGTAAAAGAAATTATTTAATAATTAATAGTATTATACAATTAACAAGTTAATTAATTTTTTTATTCAATTTCATTTATTGATTGAATTTATATAAAGTAAATAATAAATAACAACAAATAATTAATCACAATATTTTTTTCACTTAATTTCATTCGCATAAATTGAATTGTTTTAATAATGATCCATTGAATAATAAATTAATGTTAAAAATAAGTAAAAATAAATAATAATAAAGAATAATAAGGAATAATAATTTAAAAGGATAAATAAATAACAAATTTAAGATATAATTTAATTTTACTGAAAATTATGAAATAGATCTTTTTTTTTCATTTTCTTATTGTTCTAGAGTGATAAAATCGAGGAGAAAATAGTCTCTGAATTTTAGTGAGGAATTTTTGGAAATTTCGAAATTAAATATAATAAACGAAGCGATAATAGAGTTTATAAATTTAATGACGAATTAAAGTTTGAATGAAAAAGATTTTTCTACGATAAACAATTGATTTTTGGCACTTGATCCTCTTGATTCTGTGAGATTCCAGTGTTCTAGAAATATAGATAAAGCAGACATAAAGCTTGACTAAACGAAATATAGTCACGTGATTTTAATGTGTGCGTGTACAGTCACATCATTAGCGCGGGACTATCATTAGACCGACAAGGCCGGGCCAAAACCAGGGTCGGATTATAATTCCCGTTTTTACCCAAATTTCACATGAAAAAAAGAACCGACAACGCAACAATAATCCCTCAGATTAATTTAATTTAATTTCACGTTAATTAGTGATTCGAGCTGCAATCGTTCGAAAAAGAAAAAAAGAATAATGAAATTTTATAACGAGGAAATATTTTTTCAATTAATTATTTAATTATTTACATATTTAATTAATTAATTATTTAAATATTTAATTAATTAATTATTTAATTGATCTATAGTTTAATTAAGTAATAATTTCGAGTTACAAATTGTTAAAAAAAAATGAATAAAATTCTACAAGACAAGTAAATATTTTTTTGAATTAATTAATTAATAATTTCGAGTTACAATCGTTCAAAAAAATGAATAAAATTGAATAAGAAGGAATTTTTTTTTAATTAAGTAATTATATTTAATTAATTTTATATTATAAAAAAATAATATAAGAAATTATATTTAGTGAATAAAAATTGAATAATTAATTAATTAATTAATAATTTCGAGTTACAATCGTTAAAAAAATGAATAAAATTTTATAACAAGGAAATATTTTTTTTCTGTTTATTTTTCTACTAAAACAATGGTGCAAAGAAAAGACAAATACAAAAAGTGTGTAAAACTATTTAAAAAATAAAGAAATAAATAGAAATCTAGGTATAAATGTATAAAAAAAATGTGTCCCACACTTTGATGATTTGAATTTGAAAAAAAAAATATGATTTAAGACTTTTCGATTTCTTGGGTTCTTGTCACGATGTCACTTCCGGTGCGCTGCAGACAGAAAGCAGACGGTATTATGTTGTGTTATTATATCACTATTATTGCCGTTGGCAGATAAATTCGCGAAAAACAATTTTTTTTCAACAATTTTTTTATTTGAAAAAAAATTGTGTGTATAAAATTTTTTTTTAATTTAAGAATATATTTCTTGTCTTTTCGTAATAAATTGCGATTTTCTTTTTATTGCTGTTTTAAGCGCGATTTACTTTTTTTTTTTTAATTGCGATTTTCTATTTTTTTTTATTTTTATATTTAAATAGTATTTTAATGCTCGTAGAATGTTTAATTAATAATTAGTTATAAATGATTAGTAATAATTTTAAGTAATAAACAATTGAAAATAAATTATAGTTTTAAATAATAAACAATTAATTTGAAATAGTAAAAATATTTTTAAAATTTTCAATTAAAATTAAGACTTTATTAATTAAATATAATAAAATTGAAAAGATTTTGATAATTAATAATGAAAAATTAAAATTGATAGGATTTTACCTAAAATTCCATTCTTGAAAAAATGAAAATATTCTTAAATTTAAAATACAAATTTTTCAGTATCGCTTTAAAGTAGTTTATAATTAACTAAAAATTAGTGGATAAATAGTTTTACTTTCTCATTTGTAGAAAATATTTTTAGTGAAGCAATTTAATCTTTATTGAAATATACGACTTTTTAAAGGCTATTATTAAATTAAAAAAAAATTTTAATGATTGTTAATTCTTTTGTAACAATTATTTAATTAGTTAAACAAATTAGTGAAAATTAACTTAAAATAATTGTTAGACCATTTTCATAATTTAAAATTAATTTCCATTAGTTTGAGTATTTTTTAAGTAATTTTTGAAAATGATTTCAACTGAATTCCAAAATTTTGAGAAATTAATTAATTCAATTTTAATTCAATTAATAAAATAAGGAAATTAATTTTTATTTTTAATTTAAATTTTAAATAAATTTTCATTGAATCTAGTTTAAAATTTGTAATTTAAATTAAAAATAATTTTTCATTGAATATAGTTTAAAATTTTTAATTTATAATTTAAATTTTAAATTTTAAATAGAATTTCATTGAATCTAGTTTAAAATTTTTAATTTAAATTTTAATAATTAGATTAAAAAGTTTAGTTTATTTTTTTAATTTACCTCAATCTTCATCTGCACATCGATTTGAAGAGGCCGGTCTTCCAGGTATAGTTGCGGAATTTAGTGACGTAGCCGAATTCGGGTTCCCTTCTTTATTACTTTCCGGACTGAAATTTAAAGCATTTATTTTTTATTATGTTAAAATTTAGAAAAATATTAAATTAAAATATTATTACTTTTTTCTATTAAAAAATTGAGTATAATTAAAAAATTTATTTATTTAAAAAATACTCAAAGGTAAAAATTAAAAAAAAGGTAAAATTAATTAAAATATTAAATTAAAATTATTACATTTTTTTATTAAATTTAAAACTATTTTTAAATTTATTTATTTAAAATTTTTAAATTTAATTATTTAATAATTAATTTTATTTAATTATTAAATAATTGTGTAATAAAAAAAAAAAATTCTCACTTGTTTATATTTATTTTGCCACATTTTGGCTTTCTTGGACATCCACTGCGACTACTGCTCCTCTTACTCTTCTTTCGTTTCATGCTCTTGGAACTTCTCTTCATTGATCTGCAACTGCGTTTACTTTTTCGCGATCTTCTTTTTGATCTACTTCTAGATCTGCGTGTACCACATTTTCTTTTCATACTCTTGCGTCTTGATTTTCGTTTGCAACCACATCCCGCTTTTCTGCTTCGACTTTTCCTTCGACTCGCACTTCTGCAACCCGCTCTTTTTTTCACCTTCATTTTCTTCTTTCTCGATCTTCCATATTTACAGCAGAATGCACTTTCGTCTTGCACTTCTTTTAACGCGTTCGTGGGACTCAATTTGTTGCAAACGTAGTAACCACTAGAAAAATAAAAATAGAAAAATCACTTTTCGATTCGTTATATTCAATTGCATTAAATAAATTAGTTTTAAATTTTTGAAAAATTTATTTTTAAATTCTAAAAAATTTATTTTAAATTCTGAAAAACTTATTTTAAATTCTGAAAAATTAATTGTTTAATTTAAACAATTATTTATAATTTTGTTTTAATATTTAGAAGTTAATTACTCAATTAAATAAATTTTTTATTTTTCAAAAGCTAATTAATAAATTTAATTAATTTTTATTTTCAATAATTATTATTTATTTATTATTATTGAAACTTTCGCATATTAATTCAGAAGAGTTTTCAATTTCAAAAAGTTAATTAATAATTTAAACAATTATTATTTATTTATTATTGAAACTTCCTCCTATTAGTCCAGAAGTGTTTTTAATTTTATATAGTTAATTAATTACAATTAATAATTTAAATAATTATTTATTTATTATTGAAACTTTCGCCTTGTCACAAAGGTGTTTTCAATTTTAAAAAATTAATTAACCAATTTGATTAATTTTTTAATTAATTAAATTAATTTTTTAAATTTAAAAAAAAAATTTTTAATTAATTAAATTAATTAATTAATTAATAAAAATAAAATTATGCGAAATTACCCCTTTGCGCGTTGAAGAATTCCGTAGGAGAGTCCCCGACGTAGGGCAAGTTGGACTTGTCTGCGAATATCCTTATTCGGAACATTATATTCTTGAGCAATATAATTATTTATTTCTTTTGTAGTCGAACCCTGAACATCTTGGAGTCGGCGAATCGCATTAAATACTAGAGCCGCGAATTTTGGAACACCATTAGAACTCATATTTAATCCTGAAAATTAATTTGCAAAATTATTAAATTATTGTATATTTAAAAACATTTTAAAGTTAATAAATATTAAATAATTGAATAATAAATAATAAATAAAAATATAAATAAATATTAATGAAAATAAGGAGAAAAATAATAAAATAAATATTCATAAATAATTAGAATGTTTTTATTTAACAAAATCAAAAATATAAAAATAAAGTTGAATATTTATTCAACAATTTATTGAATTATATTTTTATTGCTTTTATTTGTCTCACATTCTGCTCTAATTTATTTTATAAAAGAAAATTTGTTTAATTATCAAAAAAATAGAATTTGAAGAAAAGGAAAAAAAGGAAAAGAAAAAAAATTAATTAATTAATAATTAATAAACGTTATAAATTGTTCAATATTTTGTTAAACAATTTGCTAAATGATTCCGTTGTCACGAAAATAAATATTTAAATATTCACATCTTTCACAAATTAATATAAAAATTTTTCGATTATTTACGAATTGGGAATTTTTAAATAAGCTGCAAAAATATTTTATTGATTTTATTTATTTATTTTTTTTTCAAAAATTATTTACCTTTTTATGGAGATGAGTCATATCACGATGTTCGCGAAAGAAAATTTCCTCGGCTCGAGATTTTTTTCTTCTTTCCCGTTGTTAATTTGTGGATTGTGAAATTTTCCTTTTGAATTTAATTCATCACTAATATAATTTTGAAAAAAAAATAATAATATTGCTGTTAATTAAAAAGTTTTAAACATTTTTTTTTCGTGCGGGATTGATTGCACTATGGCTGACACATTAATAAACATTTGCATAGAAAAAATATGCTAATCGTTGCCTAACAACGATTGTCAATTGTTTTTTTTTTTTTGTCACAATACGTTTTCTCCCTCAGACTTTTTTCCCTCGATAAAAAATTATTTACTTAATAAATTAAAAACTATTTTTATTTTTTATTTTACTATTGTAAAATAAATATGTAAATTATTATTTACTTAAATTTACTCTAGGTTTTTATGACTTGAAATTTTTATTCAACTTTTTTAATTATCAATTATTAATCGAAATTAATTATAATTTAATTATTTAGTAAAAAGTTAAGTAAAGGATTTTAAAAAAATGGAAAAATTCAAATTTTCAAAATAATTTTTCTAGTATTGAAAAATTTGCTTCTCACTCTCTTTCTTTCTTTTCTAGTTTGTGAATAATTTTTCTTTTTCGTAGGTCTATAAATAGAATTTTTTTTTCAAGAGTGTCAAGGATGAATATTTTTTTCGTTTTTTTTTTATTTTCAATTGCCATTAACAAAGTCATTTGAGATGGTATTGTTAATGGGAGAAGGATGGGAGGGAGGGAGGGAGGGAGGGAAAAAAAAGATTGGGATGAGCAAAAACAAATGGCAGTCAAAGTGCGCAAAAGAGAGGCTCAAACATCGACTCCTCGTCGCAAAAGAAGAGAAGTTTATCTATAGCCTCGTTCAAACATATGCGTATATAGAAACACGCACACACATTTACGCGCACAAACAGTTATTATTTATAGGCTCCGTGTGCACTAGCAAAATCATCTTCTGTCACCCCGTTGTTTCACCTCAGTAATAATGACTTATTAGCTTTTGAGCAAGCGTGTCTCCGTGAAGAATTTTTTCGCAAAGAATTTTTTTCAACGTCTTATCTCTTTCCTTTCTTTTCGAGATTTTTGTTTCCCCTCTCTTTCTTTTCTTTTTAATTTTTTCTGTCTTTTCTTTTTTTACTTTCCTTTTCTTTTTTTCTTTCTTTTCATTTTTTTCCTTTTCTTTTTCTCCTTTTTTCTTTTCCTTTTCTTCAAAATTCTATTTTTTTTTTGTCAATTTCAAAAATTTTTTCTAACATTTGAAAAAATATGGAAAAAACTACACAAAATATTTATTATTGAGCTCTAAATGCAAATTTCATTTATTAGAAACAAAATTTTTTTTGAACCGAAGAAAATTTATTTAGAACGCAATTAATATTTTTAATAGAAGCAAATAAAATTTACTTGGAACCAATAAAATATTTAATTGAACCAAATTTAATTTTTTTGAGCGAGATAAAATTTATTTAAACCAAATAAAATTTATTTAAACCAAATAAAATTTAGTTGAAACCAATAAAATATTTAATTGAACCGAACTGAATTTTTTTGAGCCAGATAAAATTTATTTGAACCAAATAAATGTCAATTGAATCAAGTAAAAGTTAATTGAACGAAATAAAATTTATTTGAACCAAATAAAATTTATATTGAAACAAATAAAAAGTCAAAAATATTTTCTCTCCTGGGTTTAGAGAGTAAAAAAAAAATACGGAAAAATAGTAAATCGAATTGACTTATTTATTTTGTTATTTAAATATTGCACCTAGAGAAAAAGAGAGATCGAGAAAGAGAGAGAAAAAAGTTGACTGTAAATTACTAAGGATATATCTTTACTTGGAGATATTGCAGTTTATATCTATTCATCTATAAATTTGCAACCCAACTATTTATGTGTCCATCGCAACTTTCCTCGTGCTCTTTGCCCTTTCTTGTCATGCATATTATAATATTGGAAAGAGCCTTTAACGCCATAAGCCAATCTGACATCATGACTGCTTTTCAAAATAAAACCTGTATAATTAAATCGTAATAGTTCTCTCGATTTTTATTACGCATACATTCAATACACTTGCGAAAAAATTATATACTCGAGCTTCCGTCATATTGTTCTCATAAATTTTTCCTCTCCACGGAGTATTTATTAGGCTCTAAATTTAAATTAATAGAAAATAGATTAATAATTTGTCAAATAGTAGTTAATAATTCATTTAATAGATTAATTTTTTCTTGAAATTCAACATCTGTGTATTTGGACCAATTTTTTTGGTTAAACAAAAATTAAAATTAAAAAAAATATTTCTATCCTGTTTAATTTGTTTAGAGAAATTTGAATTTCGCGCCAAATTTACGTGTTAAATAGTTATTAATAACAACAATATTAAATTAATATTAATTACTATTATTATTAGGTATTATTATATTATAATACTAATAATTAAAATTTATTATTATTATTATCTCTCTAAATTTGAATTAGTATAAATGTTTGCGAATTTGGATTATTAGTGACTGACTTTTTGTTTTTGAATATAATTTTACTAATAAATATTAATTTCTACTAATTTGTTAGTAAAATTTAATTTTTTGCTTTTGAATTAGTAAATTTTACTAATAAATAGTAATTTCTACTAATTTGTTAGTAAAATTTACTTTTTTGCTTTTAAATTAGTAAATTTTACTAATAAATAGTAATTTCCACTAATTTATTAGTAAAATTTATTTTTTCGCTTTTTAATTAGTAAAATGTACTAATAAATAGTAATTTCTACTAATTTATTAGTAAAATTTACTTTTTAGATTTTAAATTAGTAAAATTTACCAATTCAAAAGCATTATTAATTATTAGTTTTTTTTCTAATAATTAATAATAAGTATTAGTAAAATTTACTTTTTCGCTTTTAAATTAATAAAATTTACCAATTCAAAAGCATTAATAATTATTAATTTTTTTAATAATTAATAATAATTATTAAGTTTTTTAAAAATTAATGATAATTATTAGTAAAATTTACTGTTTTTGCTTTTGAATTAGTAACTTTTACTAATTCAAAAGCAAAAAAGAAAATTTTACTAATTCAAAAGCAAAAAAAGTAAATTTTTCTAATAAATTAGTAGAAATTACTATTTATTAGTAAAATTTACTAATTCAAAAGCAAAAAGTCAGTCACTTATTCAAATTAGTATTCATTTTCACTAATTCAAATTTAAAGAGATTATTATTTATTATTCAAATAAATTTTATTTTTGCGTTGAAAATTATAGTATTTTTATTATGAAAAAGTACAAATGACATATTTTAGCAAAAATTTGATTATTAATAGTTAATAATTAATAAAATAGATATTAATTTATGTTCTTTCTTTGTTTCAGGTAAGTTGCTACTCACAAGTAACAAACCAAACTATGCAAACTTTACCAGTATTCTCGACAACTGTATAAACAAAATGTAATGAATTTGGAGAATTTGTAACTGTATAATGTTACCTTTAAATCGGAATCCGTAAGTAGTTTTTAACTCAGAATTTTTTCATTATTACTTGTCATAGTTCAATTTATAGATTTTGAATTAAAAACTTGTTTTGAAATATTAAATTCCAAAATAGATTTTAAAATTATTTATTCATCATTATTTTCGCACCTTCAATTTGATGTGAGAAATTATGCTTAATTTTCCAGCAAAAATATAATTGAAATTTATTTATTTATTTACTAGAAATTAAATTTTCAGAAATTTGATTTATGATTTTGATCAAATTAATTTTAAATATTGTAACCCAACGGGAAGTTGCCAATGTTAACGATTGGTTCAATAATGGGCCATGCTTGGTACCCAATGGTTTTTTCTTGGCAAAACAATTGGCAACCATCATTGGACCACCAATGGTTTAAACTTGGGATGATCACGCTACTGCCAATGATCGGTAGCCAAGCATCGGGCCAATATTATTTGCCAAGGAATTGCCAAGGAGACAAAATCGATTTTCAAAAGCTTGATTTTTTATTGGCAGCCAACAAAAAACCAAGGTTTTGAAAATTGATTTTTTTTAATTATTAATTAAAATTTATTTTAAAAAAATATATTTTTCAAAAATTTATTTTAAAAAAATATATTTTTTAAAAATATATATTTTTTTAAATTAATAGAACATATTAATTTAATTTGTCACCTCTGGTAAAACAAAGATGAAAGACTGATAAATTCCCTCACTTTATATTTTACAGTGGAGGGATGACTGTGAATGTCTTTGCGAGAGAGGAGCAGGTACTTATATAGAGCCAGTGAGAAAGGTCACAAGCGAGAACAAATCACTAGCATGCACTCTGGCGGCGCTTGTCGGAAGTGGCGCAACGTTGGTTGCCAAGCGCTGCGTCGATAATGTCAGGATATGCATGCGCGCCAGAAAACAGTTCCGACAAGCGCCGCCAGAGTGCATGCTAGTGATTTCTTCTCGCTTGTGACCTGTTTCACTGGCTCTATATAAGTACCTGCTCCTCTCTCGCAAAGACATTCACAGTTATCCCTCCACTGTAAGATATAAAGTGAGGGAATTTATCAGTCTTTCATCTTTGTTTTACCAGAGGTGACAAATTAAATTAATATGTTCTATTAATTTAAAAAAATATATTTTTTTTTAAAATAATTTTTTGAAAAATATATTTCTTAAAAATAAATTTTAATTAATAATTAAGAAAAATCAATTTTCAAAACCTTTGTTTTTTGTTGGCTGCCAATAAAAAATCAAGCTTTTCAAAATTGATTTTGTTTCCTTGGCAATTCCTTGGCAACTAATATTGGCCCGATGCTTGGCTACCGATCATTGGCAGTAGCGTGATCATCCCAAGTTTAAACCATTGGTGGTCCAATGATGGTTGCCATTAATGTTCCAATAATGGAACGGAGTTCGCCAAGCATGGCCCATTATTGAACCAATCGTTTACTTCCCATTGGGAATTAATTTTAATTTTCAAATCAATTAACATTGATTTTGATTTTGTTAATTAAATCTGTTAATAGTTATAATCGGAATTTTAGATTTGGAAATTTGTTGAGAGTAATTGTTTGAAATATTATTATAATAATAATTATTATTATTATTATTTTACATTCATATTTTTGAGTGTAAAAAATTTTCAAAAAATACTTACCATATGAATAGAAAGATTGTTCGAAAATTAAGCATAATTTTTCCACCTGAACGAATTGCCTTTACGCGAGAGTAGTATGGAAGTTTGTTAACATAAACTAT